TTCAAATTAATTGAATACTGATTTAAATCTTTAATATAAAAACTCTAATACATTATTGTGGAATATTTCTTGTCTTGTTTTGACTTTATTTATCTTCTATGAAAAAAAAATGTTCAATAACATGTCACAGTAATATGAATATCAAGGAATGAGTCTTTATGTTAATTTCAATGATAATTTTTATAATTGTTAAGTATGTCTCCTAATGTAACAAGTGGTATATGGGATGTGCGTGGAACAGAGAACTCATCAGATCTGAAATTTTTGGACTCGGACCTGACCGGGTTCGGATTCACATCGACGGGCTCTAGCATGGGGCGTCACGCTCCCTGATTCTGAAATTCGTCCAAACAACACTCCTCTACTTTTAAAAATCGTCCACACAGCGCACCTTCTGCTGGGATTCAACTATTCTACGTTTCTTTCTGTCTTCAGTGCTGAATTATGTCTCTGTCAGGGTTTACATATATGATTTTACACCAATCATTAAATAATCCCTCAAAAAAGATAATAAGCTCTGGCTTTTCACTGTTCATCTTTTTTTTGAAAGCTTGAAACATCGCAAGCTATTTTTTTACTTGCTCGAGTAATACTAATCATCTGATTTGAAAAATTAATTCATTACTATGGATATTTATCTTATTTCGAGTAAATGAACATTTATAAATACTTTAAAAAATCCTAAGAAATAAATAATCGACAATATTAAATTTGTTGATTAAAGAACGAAACAATATACCAGAGCATGGATCTGTAGCAAAATGAAAGATGTGAAAAAAAATATATGACGGTAAGGATTAGACGCAGTGTCAATTTTGTATCCTTACTCAAAATAAACCTATGTTTATAAAAAAAAAAACTTCTCAAAAGACAACATTGATGTTTTGACGATGAATGCCATGAATTGAAATTGAAAGCAAACGATTTTTTTTAACAAATATATAGATATAAAACAATTGAATATCGCTTAAATTTTCAGTTTTCAAAATTATACATCCGAATATTTATTCATGACCTTTTCCTTAGCCTTTGAATGTGCCCTGTTTCAAATATAGGTATATATTTTTAATCATAACTAGAACAAAGACAATGCATAAAAGGAGTTTTTTGATAAACAAAAATAGTCGTTACTATTATTATTATTCGATTTCTTGACATTTGTATATATTAATAAAATAAACAAAATTGAATTACACATACAAGACAATAATATGTATCTTTTAAATCTTTTAGTTGTTTTCCTGTAGTCTTCAAATTTGAAAATATGTTTAAATACATTTATATATCTACTTGAGATACTTTCCAATCCATTGCTAAAATTTTCATGTCATTATCAAATAGTTTGGATTATCGATAACTTGTTAAAATGTAGTGTATAAAAGGCAAAAAATCTGTTAATATACTTGATGATAATTGATATGTAAAGTCACAATAATTTCGTAGCTCTTAGATAATTCTGTTGGCTTCAAAAGTACTTCCATAAACAAAACACAACACTATTTTTTTGAAACACTATTCATAGAATCACACCTGTCTTCGCATAATCAACTTGACATTTACTAATTTAATTACGAATGTTTTATTCAATAAAATTATATTTTCTAATCAAAGATCTGACCAAAATGTTGAAACTTTTCTGAGATGCGATGGCGTAAATGTTGATTTCTTGCATAAAATCTTTATTGGATTTAATGTATGTCATGACTGTGAGCCAATCCGTAGTTGCCATTTTTTTTATGACTTTATAGATAACGATGTTTTCTCTTTAATAAAACAAAATCAAACATAGATGTATGGGTCATATGATTAATTTGTTTTTTTGAATATTACTTTAAGTCTAATCTGACAATAACAAGTCATATTTATTGTCCTCCCTGGAAGCGTCAATTACGTCGTTTCTATTTTTAGATGAAACTGCGTTGTTTGTTCTAAGATAATTCTCTCTTCACACTTAAAATTTTCATGATGATAGATAAAAAAAAGAATTCATCTTCAGTCATTTTTTTGCTGTATCTTATCATCATAGATTCTTATATTTAATAACATCTAAATAATCATCTTTACTATATTATTAAGATGTAATAGGAAGGCAGCGCCCTCTAGTGATTAAATAAATTAAAATACTCTAATTTAAAATATTAATTCATAGAGAATTTCAATAAATAGATTTATTTTTTAATTGAATAATTTTTTTCTGAAACTAATTTTTCAAGATGGTTGAAATATTCAAACCAATAGAAAATATTCGAAAATATAAGAATAGAAAAAAAATATATATGTAATTTTTTTTATTCTCTTTTGTATACAGACGGGTTTGTGTGTGTGTACAAAATAACTTCGTCATTTATTCATATATATAACTATAATTGTCTTGTTCTACTACATCTTTTTTTTCATTATTTTGTTTATTTTATCAATCAGAAAACAAAATTTAAAATTCTTATTTGAAAAACAACAAAAAAAAAGTCCATCAACATTCCAAATGGCTTCATCTGCCGAGAATACAACACCATCAGTTAATATTTTCATTAAATATTATACTAAAACTAAACTAATTAATCTATTATTTAGAATAATGGTACTACACCAGAAGTCAGTGAAGAAGCAAAATTGAGAGCTAAATATGGTGGCGCACTTCCTCGACAACAAAATATGTTAACAAAAAAATTAATGAATAAGGTAAAAAGAAAAAAAGAATTTTTATGTAACATTCATTTGTTTTATCATCTGATTTTATTAGCCGAAGTATTTTGACTCTGGTGATTATAATGTTGCGAAAGCACAAGGCAAATTAGTTTCAAGTAAACCAGATCCAACAAATAGAACAACTAGTATTCAAGAAGCAGCATCACCAATTGTACCGGACACAATAACTGGTCATGAAATTCCAACACCAGAAACAGTTATGCCAAGAAAACTATCATGTGCTGCAACAATAACACCGACGTCAACACCAACAATAGCCAGTAGTTCTATGCCACCACCATCGACACAATAAGAAAAATAAAACATGTTGTTTGAAAAAAAAATTATCAACGAACAAAACACATAAAGACATAGGTTTTTTTTCCTGTAATCTCTTCATTTTTTCATATTATCATTATCGTTCTTTTTCTCTGTATATATGTGGGAGTATTTTCGAAAAAAAAAACAGCACGCACAGGACTCGTATGTTCCTTTTAGTTTGATTTTATTGTAGGAAAACTTTTAACATCTATCCCAAGCAAATTTGGTAATATTTTCGATATTGATTGACTGAGAATTATTGAGATCTTTTTACTGAAGATAAAGAAAGAAAAAGTTTAAAATACTCAACAAAAAAGAAATTGACTTGTGTTATTTTAAAACACTTAATCATTGTTGTTGTTTTTTTAAAACAACAGTGAAGACTTCTAAATATAAATAAAGAAAAACATACATAAACAAAAATGTCATTTGTTTATCTCAAAATATCAACTAGAAAAAGTCGAATAAATACATGAATCCATACGTACAATTTTTCTTTTCTTTATATATGATAATAATATTCACAGAAATTTTTATTCAATTAGAAATTTGAAATGTTCAATGTCTTCAGTCTTCAATTCTAATTTATCAGAATTATGTTGTAATCTACAAATATTAATAACAAAAAAATATTCTTCAAATCATTTTCGTTTATTTTTTTTAATGTCTTATTACGAAATCTTTGATAGAATATGTAAAAAAAAAAAAAAAAAAGAAAGGCATCTTGAATCTACGTTGTATATGATTAATTAATTATTTCTCAAGCATTGATGCCCATATGTTGCGAAAGTTTCATTTAACGTCATACCCTATATATGAATTTTTCATAGACATTTACTTTTAGTAATGTATTTCAAGTATCTTCATAAAATGTTGTAAATAAATTGAAAAATAAATAACATCATTATACGCCTTAAAATAAAATAGTTTCATAGAGTTTTAAATAATGTTGAAGAATTGCTAAACTATTGAGGATTTATCAGCAAAGTTATGGTAGTTTTTTTGAGAAAAACTACAATGAATCATCAATTTTCTTATGCTTCTCAGATTCACTAATAGCCATTCTCGACAATATTTTTCAATTAGTTTATACAGATGGATTGTGAGCACCAAATATGTGATAATTTTTTTTATTTTTAGAGTCGTTGAATGTTAGAATAGTTTTTATTCCTTAATTGTTCGAATACTCGCTAAAGTTGAGAATCATATTATTACTATAAGACATAAGTGTTATATTCTAAAAATCGTACTATAGATTTCAATATTCAATTGTTAAACAACACAGATACTCTGGAAAAATGCACTAGCGTTCTATATAATAGTATTTAGAAAATTACCTTCACTACAAACCATTTGATGAATCTTATTGGTTTAGTTTTACGGAAATGTTCTGCTAATATTACATTTCCCGTAAGACTTATATTTACTTCATCGAACAATATTTTGCTTATTCAAATATAAATATAAAAATTCATGAGAAAAATACTTGACTTGATAAAAAATTTTTTTGGTTTTAGATATCCGAAACTGTCAACCTAAAATACAATCATCTTCTATTGTTTCTCAAAGATAATTAATTTGATGAAAATAAAAATCATCTATTTAAGCCATTCTAATATTATAATAAACAAGATGAAATTAAATAAAACAGTGATGATGATAAATCTTTAATGAATAATATCAACATCACAGAAATTATCTACATTCTTAATAGATAAAAATTATATAAGCGCAAAATGTGAGACAAACATTAGAGAAGAAAAAAAAAAAGTTAAAACAATATTGTCGTTTACGTATCGAAGATGACGCAGTATTGTTTACAACATAACGACGTAATCAACGAGAAATAATTCAATTACATCTTGAATAAATTACAATAGGAAAAAGAAAAAAAAAGAATTGTTATATTTTCTTTATGTTTTTTTAGTAAATATATATTTATGTAATTATAACCAAATAAACTGAAGAAATGATTGTTGTTTTTCTTTTATTATTCAACACGATAAATGATGATTTGAATACCAAGGTGTCGATGCTGTTGAATCTTTAATATTTGGATTTTCTAAACCCATTGTTGATGTACCTGTACCCATTAAATCAAAGCCTAGATAAGAAAAAAAAACGAAGAAATCAATAAATAATTAAAGACGAAAAAGAAGAAAAAAAAAACAACAACAAATCTTTACTCTGTGGAGGAAATGCATATGATGCTGTTGCCATCATTGATCCACCAAGATGATAATCAAAATGATGAGATGTTGGTGTATAACCATGATGAGATTGTTTTTCATGATGAAACATTTGTGCAGCGGCTGCAGCTCCAATAGCTGCTGCTGTCACAACATCCATATCGGGTGATGTATGATGATGATAACGCCCTGTATTGTTATTAAGATTTGTATTATTTGGTGATCCAATTGAATGTAAATGATTGTTTGAAATAGCTGATGATGATGATGATGATGGTGTTGTTGTTGTTGAATTTGTTGAATAAGGTGAGCGATATGTATGATGATGATGATGCATCCAATCAGTATATTCATTTTGTGATGTAGGAAGATAAGTTGGATGTGGATATGAAGTTGGTGATGTCATAAAATTAGGCCAAAAACTACTTGATGGATTCATCATGCTTGAATAACCATAAGATGATGTTCGAGGATCTAAATAGAGTTTTTTTTTTCGTAGAATTCAAAAATGTTAAGAAACAAAAAAAACTTGTAATGTAGTAATTTAGACCAGTGGCGGAATCAAAATTTTGGGCTAGAGAGGAGGCTCATCTTCCCTAGCGAGATTTTTCAAGGATTCAAATGTCCGTCGGAACAGTTGAACCCTCTCTGGCTCCACTACTGATTTAGACATATTAGAACATGTATTACTCGTAATTGTGAGATTTTCTTCATATAGATATTTATGTAGAATTTGTTCATACTATTATTTCCATACGAGAACTATAAAAAGTGCAGTTTCTTTTTTTTTATCATCTTATCTTTGCTTCGTTCGCATAAGCTTACATTGATTAATTCATATTTCTCTTTTTTTTCTCTTAAATGAGGAATTAAAAAGTTCTCTAACGAATCAATTATATACAATTATACTCACCTCGTGTTGATATTGATCTTGTTGAATTAAATGATGTTGGTTGTTTAAGTGCCTTATCAAAATGTTCTTCAATAATTGAACCTGATTCTCCTGTATAATATCGATAAACAATTGAATTTTCTGATGAACATTCAACAATTTTTCCATCAGTTATTGCTGTTCGTGATGTTGAACGATGATTTATTCGATGTGATTTATTATCAAATGTATCAATTGATATATTTGATGGCATTCGTGTTTGTTGGTCATCATGAAGTGTACTTAACATATGATCAAGGTGTGCTATAGGACCATCATTATTTAATGTTGTTGTCGATGTTGTATTATTAACAGGTAAATTTTCATTAACAAGTGTATTAGTACTCATCGATGATGTACATACATATATAAGTAATCTAAAATAATTTCATGAATGTTAGGATGATTATCATGTATGAAGAAAACTTAATACTAATTCAAAAAATGTCGAAATATATCCATTAATATCTTACCAATTATCCATCTTAATATAACATTGAAAAAAAAAAGAGAAAAACTAAAATACAAAAATAAGAAAATGATTGTGCCTTATTCGATTCTATATTCTATATGATCACGTAGAACTAAAATTCCATTGAGTATGTGTCATGTTGTTGATGCCAGTTTTTTTTCTTATTTTTTTTTTTGGCTCGTTCGAGAATAATCGTTATCTATCGTCGTTTGAAATGCATACCATCTTGGAACAACATAACGTCTCATCTTCTTGATTCATATACGCGCAGGCTCGTGCGAGCTTGCGCGCTTTCACTATATCTTACCCACACGAAGTAATTAGAGTGTAAAAGCTTATCGGCTACCAATCAAATTCCATTCCGAAAATGCGAATGAGGAAAAAAAAGAAGAAGAAGAAGAAAAAGAAATAAAGATAAATGATTGATAGGGCACGCGTGTATGTTCACCAGACCAACACGATGATCATGTTTGTTTGTTTGTTTTACTTTTGCCACATTCATAATCAATTCGATCATCACCTACACACATACACGATAGAGATTAATTCTTGTTTCATCTTTTTCTTCGGACTACAAATAGACATTTGCGCAATAATCTTGTGATGATTCACAAAAGAAGAGGTGACTTGATTGTCTTTCTCTTTTTTTTTTTTTTGTTTAATAGAAAGATTGTACAAAACATGTCGCTCATTATTGACACAACTTGATAGTCGTGGTGGACATTGACATTTGCTCGAAGATCATTACGATACACATGTGAAACAACACGCATATATACAAAACTCGTTACACAAAAGAGCAAAATTCTTCTGTAGCTTTTCTTTTGCTGTCTGTTATTAATGATGGATAGTCGACAAATAATTACAGTATTAGTATTTTCTTTTACTTTTACAGATATAATCAATTGAATATTGTTTGACTAAATTGATTTTGGTTTCATTTGCCAACGAATCTTTTATGAAACAGTTATGTTATTTGTTCTACTAGTGTTGACTCAATAAGTGTGTTAAAAATAAATTGATCGAGAAAGAGAGAGCGAGAGAGAGAGACAGAGAAATGTTGATGCATTCTCTTGTATTAGGATATAAAACGATAGAAAATTTTCAATTTGTTCGTCTTGCATAGTTTTAGATCTATATGAATTGAATTGAAAATAAAAACATAAGAGAATTCCAACTGAGATAAGAAGAAAAGATCGATATAATTAAAATGAAATTTATGATAATTGATGTGTTGTAAGATAACAACGAAAAGTTCATTTTTTTGGTGATAAAAATCTTTATGTACAGCTGGCATAATTAATTTTAAAACATAATTTCAATGGAAAACTGGTTTTTTTTATTCGATTGAGGAATAAAATGCTATATAAACGTTCTATAATTAAGTCATATAGAGAAAAGATGTGTTGTGATTATTTATTTATATGTAATCTGTTATGAATGATATGATTTTGAATAATTCATAAATAAGAATCGTTATATTAATTTCTATTTTAACAAATTGAACACAATATGAATAAAACTTTGTTTGATTCATTTTATTTCGTCAAGATAATACATAAAATTATCAATTTCATTACATTCTGTCTTTCATTAATTACTCATCATTCAAGTAATACTATCTACTAATTTAATGGTTATATTTTGATGATCATATTTGAGTAATATCAGTTGAGATCTGACAAATGATTTCAATTTTGAAGCCTGCAGTTTTTGAAAAATAGTTGTATAGAATTTTTTTTTTCTTAGTGCAATGTAGACTTTGTATTTTCTTATGTATTCGTCCGTTCTGATACATGTAGATAAAAGAATGTTTATACTACTATCGAATCAAAAGCATTCATATCAGTTTTGTATGTATTCAAAGAATTATATAAAATATGAAAGGAAGTTGCTGCGGTTCATAAGTAAGGTCAAAATTACGAGATTAAGATCAGAACTAGAAAAACACAAATTTTTCAGATCCTTTAATATTTATTGTATCAATTTTTCTGTGTATCATCTACTCATTGATCATATTGGCGGCATAAATTATAGTACTTATGATTGCAATTATTATGCAGTATTTCATTCTCTTCCTAGAGACTATTTTTTTATATGATATAGTTAGGCAAAGATATCCGTTTTTTGCTAAACGGTCAACATTCGCAAACAATCACTTGCTATTTTTGTTTTGTTCTTTGCTTTCTTACGAGCTCAGGTCAATGATTTTGGCGCTCGAATCTGTGAATTTTCAACAGGTTCTTGCCGTAAAGACGCTGTTTCCGACTGAAATAATGATAGGAACTTGGAAGCAGTAATCCGGTGGTCAGATTTTTCTAGTTTCGGTCGAAAACTGCTCGTATTTCTTGAATTGGAAGTTTATACTCATGGAAAGCTTAAGAAAAAGTGCATTCAATTTGCTGATAATCGTTCAGTGTTTTTTTTATTATTATGGATGTTACACTTGAGAATATCTTTTTGTAAGTATGTAATAACAATTCGAAGAACTTTTATTATTTATTAATATTTAAAATAAACATTTTTATCCTTTTTGTTAGTAGCATTATTGTTGTCATCATTGGTTTTTAACTAGATTTCCATTCGAATAAACATATTCAGGAATAATAAATCTTTTATCCATATTTTCTAATCGATAAATTGATTGAAATTGTCGATAGATAGAAGGTATGGGCAAAGCAATTCCAATTAGTCCTTCAAAAAACGAAGATCATTATTTATTATTTTTGATCATGTAAAAGCATTCAAAATTTATCATAAACCTAATAGATCGTCTTGTTTTTTTTTCGAATATTTCAAGATAATTTCAATACATAGAGTTACAATTTTTGCTAAAATGTAGTTCTATTTTTATAGTTTATCCGCTCACGATGTCATATATTCACGATACTAAACTAGAAATACTAAACATGATGTACTTCAATATCGCTCAAGAAAAAAAGATCATACACCACAAGCAAAAATGGCTAAATATTATATTTCGTATTTAGTTCTTTTTAGCAGGAAGACACATTTGAAAAAAGTTCTAAAGAAATTTCATTTGCTTTTTAGTCAAGACATTGTAGAAAATGCAACTTCTCCTTTAAAAAGATGAAATACGAGATTTTAATCCTAACATGTCTTTATATGTTTGCTTGTGGTATATGATCAATTTTAAGCAATATCAAAGTACACCATTTTTAGTATCTTTCTAGTCTCGCATATTTCCCGCCTTCCACATCATAACAGATCCTGGATCTTCTAATATGAACTCCTATCCATAAAAGATCGCATATTCTTCTTACATTTTAGTTAGTTCACTATGATTATGTTTCAAATACACAGTAAGAATACAAAGAAAAAAAAGAACTACAGTTGAATTTTACTTTCTCATAAACTGATCTATTTCATTTTGTTGTGATTGAAGACGTGTAACAACAAATATGAACTCTTTTTTTTTTTTGAACTATCGCTTTCTTTTCATTATATTCTTTTGCTTCATTATCGTTTTTAGATTCCAATAGATAATATGTCGATAAACCTATAGTAATTTATTTTCACACTCATCAATTGTCTTGGTAATTTCAACGTATGTTTCATCGTTACAACTGTCTTAATTATCAAAATTTGAATCTTCATCATCACAAAAGAGTGTACGATGTTGTTCCTTCGTATTTTATATATTCACTAGATGTATATCACTGTTGATACAAATGGAGTTTAATATTAAGGGCATCTCATCGCCGCTTTTTGGCCATTTCTAGTTCTCAAAGAGAATTGATTGTACTCTCTTCGAGGACCAGAAATGGCCAAAAAAGGAGGGAGGGAACACACTTAATCGCTCTTTCCTTCTTAAACCATTTATACATAGTTCTCTCATTTTCACTCTAGCTGACAATAGCGTTTTTCTTTCCCCGAAGAAAAAAAAATATATTTCAATGAAAAAACAAAAGGTTAAACAGATTTAAACAAAGAGTTTTTTTTACGAGGCGCGATTCTTCTAATATGTGGGAAGGGGGAGGAAGTTAGTAAATATTTGACACAATGAGCTGATAGACTATGAAAACAAGACTAAATTTTAGTGAAAACCACAACACTGTATGTTGATATCATCTTAAGATATTAGAAAAACAACACGATCAATAATATGCATGATCAATTTTGAGTGACACTGTGTATGAATTGAATTACCTATTCCAGCAAGAAATGAACAAAGAATTTTTCCGTTTGGTGACAATGGTACACGTTTAGCATCACCAACAGTTATTGTTGATATAGTAACAATATTAAATAAATCTTCAAGACGTGTTACATAAGCATGATCCCAATTTTTTTCAATAATTTGTATAATAACACCAAATGTAAATACAAAAAATAGTATTATAAAACCAATAGATAAAATATATTTAAATGCATTTTGAATTCCATAAAAAAGTATTCGTAATGATTTAACATAACGACAAAGACGAAAAAATCGAAATAAACGTAAAAGCATTAAATATTGAAATAATTTTATATAAAAAAATGAATCTTGTTTATCATTATTTGATATATTCATATTAATTAATATTAAATAAATCCAACTAACAAATAATGTAAATAAATCACATATATTTATTAATAAAATTAATGTTATCCATTTATGAGGTGATGTTAGAAAACGAAGAATATATTCCAATGTAATAAAAATAGTACATACTTCAAAAAAAGAAAAAGAAAAAGAAAAACAAAAGATCGATTGAGAATAAAATCATTACATTAATAACAAACGTTGTTCAATTTTAAGAATCCATTGACCTGCAATTTTTGATGGACGAAAATCAAAAAATATATTATTACAATTAGTTAAATGATGATGATTAGTAGATGATTTATAACAGATAACTTTGTCTCTTGATAATTGTGGAAGAAGTTCAATTGAAATATTAAAACAATAGAGTAAAGAAATAATTAAACAAATTAATTGAATCTAAAGACATATTCGAGAGAAATTATTATTTATTTATTTTAATAAGATTTTTACTATTTGTGTAATGAATGAATAATCATTATATTCTAATGAAATCCAAATAGCTCGTAAAATACGATTTGATGGTACAATACGTTGATGATCAGTAAATTCTTCATGTATTTCACTATTATAAAAATGTTGAATTGTTTCATCATCTAATTGAAAATATTTAAGTTCTTCAAAAAAAATAATTGGTTCATAAATTGTAGGTGCAATTAATTGACCTGTTTCATAATAATTAATAATTGCTTCAAAAGAAACAATGTGTCGATCAATAATATATTGTTGTTTTACTTTGTTATACAAAGAACCACGACGTTTTGGGTCACCTAAATAGGAGAGGAAAAAAAACAATGATGAATCGTTATTTTTTTTGAAATATTAATATAAATATAACCAAGAAGAGTATTTGGAAAACGATTAAGAGAAGTTTCTCGAATGAGAAAGATAGTACCAAGACAATTGAATTCAATTAAATTATTACTAGTCATATTTATATCATCTATGATAATTCTAAAGATTTTTTGCGCTTTTCTTTTGTCGAAATATATATTTTCAAACAATCGTTACTAATATTAATTTTTATTATTATCTATATAGTAAATAATTTATTTTCATTGATTAGACGTTTGTAATTGCAAAATCATTTTGATACTCTTTTACATCAACTATCACTTAGATTAAATTTTATTTTGATAAATACAATATGTATTATTTGATTGCTTGTTAGAAAGATTTATTTAAAAAATTTTTCTACTTCCTTCCGATTGATTCATTACCGAACATTCGTTCGACTAGTGAAGTCTGAATAAAGAAAAATTTATTTATTATTGATGATATTGTATCTGAAAACGATTATATTTTTATTGAACACAACGAACAAAAGCCAAATATTTTAGTGGAGTTGGATGTGGGTACCGTTTTTTCTCAACACATGCCCGTACTCTCATCATCAGAGGGAGGAAACAGCAGACTTTAAGAGACTTCAACATATATTAAAAGCTATAGCTCAAGAGTTTCAAAATACTGCTTAAGATTTCATAAGGCTTCAAGACTGAGGTCTCTGTTGTTTCCCTCTCGACAACACTCACATCCACAATTGTATTGCTTTATAAAACTTATCGATCTCTCAATGACAAAAACTTTACTGTAAAGATAGAAAAATAATATAAGTTTTTTTTTAATTTGTCTCATTGATCATTTTCCTTATCTATAATTGACAAGAATTCGAAATCAAGAAAGACTTTATCATGAATTAAGAAAATGCAATACTTCATATTGATAATTTTTCACAGAATTTTGCATTTATTTTACGTTTCGTTTTATTATAAAGTTACTGTAGAATTCCAGCTTTTTTTTTTGGCGTATTCAAATGATTGGTTATTATGATTTGTCAAAGAATAGAAAACAATGCACTCAAAAATAGAAACACACACATTTTAAATAGAGTTGAGAAAATACATAATGTTATTTGTTTATCTATGTCGAGATTTATCATTGACAATAAAAATATTTTTTGCTGAACCAACAATCATATTTGGTCGATTTACATCTGTATCAGCACAATAAACAGCATTTTCAAGATCTGTTATACCACCAACCATCTATTCATTTTCCAAAAGATGAAAAAAGAAAAAATCAATTTAAATTTTTTCTAAATATTATATCATTTACCTGTAATATTGAATAATCATAAATAATTGCTTCATTCTTATCATTTCCAGCACATAAAATATATTCTTTCGGAGAGAATTTTGTACAATAAAGCTACAAAAAAAAAACGAATAAAACAATAATATAATTCAAATATAATTTACCATAGAAGTTGCATTATTTTGAAAAGCATCTTTAATTAATTCACCTGTCGAAAAATCCCAAATCTATATATAATTTAATAAACATAAATACTTTTTTTCTTTTTATCCTTTCATACTTGTAATGTTGAATTTTTTCTCCATGATCCAGTTAAAATAACTTGATGTTCAGCAATAATATCCAACGCATCACCACATAAATGTGGACCAGCAAAATGTTTTTGTGAATGTGGTGCACGTTCATCCCAATAATGAATCGTTTCATCCCAACCACCCGTAAGAAAAACAGTTTCCATAGCTGGATGTGAACGAATAGCATGTATACGATTTTTATGACCATCCATATTTTCTCGACTTTCTCTATTTTATTTTATTTTATTTTATTTCAATCACAAAATTCAATGTGTTAATCAAAGAACAAAAAACTTACGATGCTTGTAATTTGCGAAGTAATTTTTTCGCACTAAAATCATAGCAATTAATTACACAATCACTACCTAATTTCAAAGAAAAAAAAAACAAAAGAAATATAAAAACAAGTGTGTCATTTTTTTTTCTAAGAAAATATTTTACCAGCAACATATAAACGTGTATAATTATAATTAAAATCAAGTGCTAATGGTTGTCGATCTTTTTCATCGAATGTAAAAACACATTGTTGAGTTGGATAATGCCAAACTTTAACATAACCAGCTGTATCTATAGGAAATAAAAATTATTTTCAACACAATAAACTTCTTGTTTTTATTAGAAACTACACTTACAAGTAGCAGCTAACATTTTTTGATGATCTATTTTTGCATCGTCTTTGTTTCCATAAAATTTAAGACATGTTACTGGATAACCTAAATAAATAAGGAAAGTTTCATTTAAAAATAAATGTCAATTGTTAAAACAGTGTTTTCTTATTTACGTCGTGTTTTTGTATCATCATCAGTAAGAACATATTGAAATTGGCCTGCTTTTGAATAGACCTGCAAAAGATACGAAATAAAATATAATCCTCGTATAAATCGCTTATCTTTAGAAATAAAATTTAGAAATTCTTCTGCAAATAAACTTTTTTTAGGTATGTTTTGAATATATAATTTGATTTTTTAAGTGTGTTAAAACAATATTTGTTTTCTTTTTCCTTTGTTAAAGTATATTATTACAGATATTTCCTATTTGTCGGTAGTAAAATAATTATATTATAAAAATGAATATGAAAATAGTTGTTCTCGATGACAAGTTGATTAGCAAACGATATAAATAATTGATGAATTGTACGGAAATATTAATAAAAATGATAAAAATCATAAGAATATTTTATAATTTTAACAGACTGTGAAAAAAAATTATTTTTCTGGGTATATCCATTGAGATTAGAAAATGATTTCTGTTTGATAAAACGAGAATCATTTTTACTCTTTAATTAGTTGTGAAAATAGTTTCATTCTTTTAAATGTGTAACAAGAAGATTGTTAGTTTAGTCCTTTTTGGAGTTAAAACGTGCAACTCACGTGTGTTCTTTAGCATCATTATACTAATGCAAAATATGATGCATTTCGAGCAGAATTTTTTTCTATTTTTTTACTAGCACTCTAGTTGTTGTTTGATTTAACATTATTATTATTATTATTCTCACCATTGATTTAACTGGCAAATAAGTCTGTTATATCAATAGCATGTCTCAACATACTATAATATATCTTGATAAATTCAGAAACACTAATATTAATTTATAACTTGATTAGTTCACATTTTTTTTATGTTGATCATATGACAACTATGCTAAATCAACGTATGACCGCGCATGATCCTTCACATCTTAAATATAAATTTTTATCTGCACAAAAAATTAAAAACTGCACTATTTAGAATATCCACAAACATATTCTAGCCATTCAAATATCAAAGAAGACTTTGGAATGTTCTAGAACAGTCCAAGGCTTGTTAATATCATTCAATGCCTTTTCTTGTCGCTAAGGAATTTTAGGAAAAGAGTCCGACGCCTGTTGTCCTCGATAGCTAGGATCTGTGATGAAGAGACGAGGAGAGTTGCAAGCTTAAAAGTTCCATTCAATAATATATGTGAGTACCACAAAATAAAGAGTTCTATTATATTTGACATCTTTTTTTCTTTCGGCAGATCGGAAATGATCCTTGACTATTGCTCAATAGTACCTCATAGAAATTAGTAGAATTCTTTGCTCTAAACACTGAGATAGGCTTATTAATCCATGCATTATTCATGAACGCCTGATGCACAACATATTTTATCGTTATGAAAATTATAAGATCTATGATTGTTTTTTGCGTTTATTCATTGTTCACATATGAAATTTATAAATAGTTTTCAAAATAAATGCTATAGAATTGAAAAATAAGAATTTAAAAAGATTTACTTTCATTGCATATTTATATATCAAATGATATACAATGAATTACTCATTTCTTCTATGTTAAAAGCAATGAAAGTGATTCGAATCTATATAATTCCGATAGTAACATGTGATAAAGAAAGAAAAACTTTACCATAGATCAATATTCAACATTCTTGAAGCTTACTTTAATTGTGCCATTACCTAAGCCAACAGCAAATACATCTCCTATAGGACTGTATTTACAGCATAGTACGTATTCTTCACAATCTCTATAATTAAATAAATTATATCTGTTTTTCAAATTTTCTCAGATCAATTCTTTTCTACTTACACAACATTAGCTAATTCGAAATCACCTAACATTAAATGTTTTGGACGTTGGTCAATTACTTTTGTTGTTGACATTCGACGTGTACGAGTGGAACCAGGCACTGTCAATAGTGAAGCTTCACTACTAGCCAGCGACATTGAACCACGTTTCTCACCTAATTGATTATATAAATCATTATAATAAAGTAACAAAATAGTATTAATAATTAAATAAAAAACTTCGAACATTCAAAGAAAAACAAAAAAAGATTAACGCACCACCTGATTTTGACGGTGTTGTCATTGTATGTTGATAAATAAGCTTATTTCAATCTTTAAATTAAGTTTTACAGCGATTCTTTTATTTTTTCTTCTCACGTTTCTATACGAATATACAATTTCAATTAGTCAGTCACAAAATCATATTTCAATTTGTTATTCTTTATATGTAAAAGAACAAATAAGAGTGACTGACAAAGTGAAGAAAGTGTTGCAAAAAATTAAAAGAACGAACAAACTAAAGAGAATGGTGAAGATCATCAAAACTGCACGGCAACCGAGTAACAAAATACAAGAAAAAGAAAAAGAAATGAGAAAAAAATGCCCTATAGTCAAAATAGAAATAGACGATCTTTCTGATGTAACCATACATTCTTTGTTTCTTTTCTTTTTTTTACGAAATGAAGTATAATGTATTGTACACATATTATTGTATGAATTTATATTTATTATATCCTTGATGAGACTATCGAAAAAATTTCACGTCGCACAAAATTAAAAAATATGATTATGAAGCGTATGTTTATTTTAAGAGAAAGTGATTTGAAAAAGAAAAAAAGAGCCTTGATTATGTGTACCTATGTGTAGGTACGAATATGTCTTCGACATACTTAGTAGTGATTCAATAATCAGACTTCGCTCATCGATGATGTTGGCTTGTGAAAGTTTATAACGATTGTTGATTTCAAATTCAGATTCCGCAACTGAATCTTCATAATTATC